TAATGATAAAGTAATAATAATTAGGAAAAGGTTATTTCAAAGTGTGAGAAAATGATTCTCACGTCTCAAAATATTGCAATCTTTTTCCGAGACTTTTCAGTCATTACCTAAAGCCTCGATTACCCAGACAGATTCAATACTTGGCAGTTAACTAATATAAGCTTTCATGAAGGCACATTACATGTGTCATGTCCAAATGAAATGATGGATGTTTACAGACCAGGACAACAGATAAGCAACTTATTGTAGAGTAAAACATATGATCATTGATGCATCCCAGGTATATAGATAAATCATGGGGATTGTGTTCAGCCTGTGTCCATATATTCATATTGGATTTTATCTTTGATATCAGGTTCATGAATGGGTCAATCAAATTCACCTGCCCTTTTGTTGCCATGCAGATTTTCATGTACAGACACAGTAGTAGGGTCTTTACATATTGCAAACACCTGTGTGGGTCTGTGTTGTGTTATCTTTTTGTGTCTACATTGTGTCATCTCCTGTGTGACGGTGTCTTGCCACAAGCTCCGTGTGTCTGAGTCGTGTCTTCACCTATGTGTGTGTGTGTGTGTGTGTGTGTGTGTGTGTGTGTGTGCATCTTGTCATCCCCTCTGTCTGTCGGTGCTCATTTCATGTTTTAAATTTTATTTCTTCAGGAGAGAAAAACCATCCTTTCAAATAACCATCCAAATTTTTTTTACCTAAAGCTTATCTGCAGAGTGACTTTGATCAAAAGAACTCTAATATTTTTTTACCCTTGGTGTTCTTCGGCTTTTTAATTACAATTTAAAACTTTGCCTGCCATAATGCTGTCTTATTCATTATTTACAGCTCAGTCCTTGCAAGAGTTTGGCAAGCTGATTGCATCCATCGAAGACGAGAGGGATAAAATGGTATGTATTGATTAAAAAAAGAAGAGGGAAGCAAGGGATATGATAAAACAGACTGTTCATACCCCTTGTATTCTCACATTTTTCTCCTCAAGTATCCAACCCAACCACTACACCCTGTGAGTCAAATATCTTATGCCTTTGTTAAGTCTTTGCAATGAAAAAGTATTAAAAAAAGAATGTGCATAAATCGATTAGAAGTAAGTTTGCCAAATTTTAAGTGATTGGTTTAAATATGCTTAGAGTACTTCGTATTCTTCCTACATAAATTGATGATAATTGTGATGAACGTAAGTTGGATTTGATACGATAGAAATATGAAAAAGCACCAGTTTGCTGCATGGGAGACAGAACGTGACAAGATGCAGTTCTGGTTGGAAAACTGCCTTTGCCAGTAAAAGCCATCACTTCCATCAAATGCACATACACAATGTTTACCAACTCTGGGCAATCAATTTATGACTCTGTAGCTTTTAAGAGAAGTGACAGTACAATATCTGCTGTGTCAACATACATTTAAACCATATCAATTAATAATTTTTGTTGCCATTTTATATAAAAGGAGAGTGATTATGGTAGTGATGACTGTGTCATCTTGACCAGAGGCTTTGCTGCATAGGATGATACATGTTCCTTTTAAGCCATGGGGAATTTTGGTATATTTTTATTGTGTGGGTGATCTCAATTGTAAAAAAGGCCACAGTTGTTGGTAAATGTCTGCAAACATATACTGACATTTTCCATTGTGGAACCTTAGTTACACCACTATTTCTCAGAAAATTGACAGAAATTCTGAATATAGATTTCAACTGAGAAATTTAGCCTATGATCTTTTTCCCAAATTTGGGCAAGATGTATGCCACACCTGTCATTTTCAGTGTTTTAAGAGCTGAACGGATGTCCTTATGACAGAACAATGAATAAATATAAGATAAATTTGTGTCTTAACTAATAACAGTAGTGTTGATAAAATATATTTTCTCTCAGAGTTTTTCTATTGGTGTATTATGTTAATATGAGAAAGTCATGGCCAGGGATGATACATGCACAAGATGCCACTTTGAATCACCACACTTGTTCTAGCTTCAGAAATGTTCTTTCCATGTTCAACACACAGACTTTACAGACATGCCCATAAAATCTTATTGATTTTTTCCTAGAAAAGATCATGGTCCTGCAGAGATTTTATGGGAGCATGCCAACAGAGAACTTGTACCACTGCTGGCCTTTCTGAGTAGGGCTCTTGTGTAACCAGGAAGTAAAGGGGTGAAAATGGGGTAGTTGGGGGGATGGGGGGAGGGTGCAGATCTTAATGCTCACAGTTTGTGAGCTTGACTGTCAGTTTGCATCTGAATATCCATGCACAGTTATCACTTTAAAATTTCACAAAAGTAAACTTCCTTCCATGAAACCAATTGTTTTTTGAGAACTTTGGAATAGTCTTAATGTCCATATATATATATATATATATATATATATATATATATATATATATATATATATATATATATATATATGGCACCACATTCATTAGGAAAATGAATTTCATTTGGAATAAGTAATTAACACTTGTAGCACATAATATAATTTTTTACAGGTGTACAATTCAGCCTGCATAGCTGCAAATTCTTTATTATCACTGTCTCAGTGTCTGTACATGCACTCCTTCAATAGCCTACCTGATTAACAATCAGATATTCCAACAGAGGATAAAAACTCAATTGCTTACTAGTAACAGGTTTTTTTTTGTGGGGTAGATTTTGTTTTCATACATAAATAAGTTCAGTAAAAGGTGGTTTATATATACTTCAGCTGTGTTTGAAATAGTATAATTTGTCCCTATGTTTGCCACTGACGTGGAAATCATCTCTGATAATCTGAACAGGCTGAATAACATGCCTATCTGTCCTCTTTTACTAGTCACATTTTTTAGAAACTTTTCATTGTCAACATAGCTATCTCTTATCAGCTGTTCTGTGTCATGTGGATTTTCACTAGATGGCAATAGGCAAAAGGTATGTTTACACTCTTTGGAATGAGAAGATTTCGATCCAGGTTCCAGTTTTTTGTAAAGCTAAATGCTCACTGAATTTGTGAGCAAGAGAATTTATCTGTTTGTGAGGGAATTTTCTGAAAAGGAAGGGTTGTTTCACGAAGCCATTGCAATCTTCAGTCGCAGAGTGCTTTGCATTTCAAGCACAAAAATTTGGAGGCAACTTTCATTTTGTTCAACGTGGGGTTATATTTTATGTAAATGACTAAGATATGAAATGAGATTATACCAGTTCTTTATGTTTGATGGTTATCCCTATTTTAGGTTGGTGGTAAATGATGTGGACATGTTAGATTGGTTAAAGTGCACACTAGCATGCTCAACTAGTATATAATATAATATGAATCACATTTAATTTCAAATTGATAATTAAAAATGATAAATGGATTAAAGAAGGACAGAAATATCAATTTATTATTATTATTAATAATAATAAGTGGTCTAAGGAACCTGACATGTTTTTTACTCACGATTTTTGGTCTAAAGTTATCTTGGTCTGAACGTAACTACCTGTCTGTCACACGAGTCTGGTTCGACGCTCTTCTCTAATCCCGTATCAGCTTGCCCTTTGTCGTCGCCTCCTCTTCATTTGCCACTTCTCATAACCCCATGTTTGTGGAGAGGAAAGTTTGTTTGCGTTTAGGTCTAACGTTATTCCGCCTCAACACCCTTGCATAAAGGCATGGAATTGGCTTCTTGATCACAAAATAACCCGAACACCTCCTGTGCTCCTGGGTTGTAGCGGCAAGAATAACTTTTTACCCAAGTTGTATAGTGACAAAATATCCCAATTAAATTTCATTATGGAAAATACGATAAAAACTTGTTGACTTATGTTTTACAATAGTTCCCAAAACAACCCCCAACCTTAGCCATTATTGGCCTGTTTATGTCTTTTTACTTTAAGGTTGTAATGATGAAATATTAACGGAATTTTCCTGTTGCAAAAAAAAGATTCAAAAAGCTATTGGTTTTTGTGTTTTTATAAGTTGGGAGCTCATTTCGTTAGGCTTCATACAGAAGAATTTAGCTGTGGTCATAGGATGTACTGATAAGTCACAAACAGGTTAGTAAAGGTTTTGTTACTTTTCCATCCTTATTTTATAGACCAGTGAAAAATTAATTAAAATGTGAATTTACAAAAAGTAAGATTGGTAATACTTTGATTGGAAGTTTCAGTCAGATTTATATAAAAAAGGACAAAATTTAAACTAAAAATAAAGACTTACATTTTTTGTCTTTTTAATAGTTTGTACGTATAGCAAAACTGGCTATAGAACATAAGTGTAAATCTATTAAAAAATTAGTTTTTCTACACACAAAAGAGACTAAATCCAATTCTATAGTTGTTCTGTCTACACAGACTTTTTAAGTATCTTGGGTAATTTTTTCTTTCAAGTATATTGTTGAAATAACGAGAAGTAAAGAAAAGATGTTTTAGAATGATGTTGCTACCTTGTTCTTATCCTGCAACAAGCAGATGCTCATGGAAGGAAATGTACTCTGAAATGTACATCTTCGTATATTTCACTTGAAATGTACATCTTCGTACATTTCACTTGAAATGTACTATTTCTGCTGATCTTGTACACCTGCTCGACATCTTATTACAGATTTATAGGTAGAAATGCATGAGCCAGGTTGATGTTGGTCTACTGCAAGCAATATTTGCTGTAAGCATATATTTACATGGTGGAAATATGCATTTACAATACATGGACCTTAATTTATCAACTAAAACATAGACATGTTTTGTAGTTACAGCTTGTACATTGAAAGGAAGGATGTGTAGTTGATATCAAAGATTTCTTCAGGCTATTTCTGAATACGTTTGCTTTTGAAAATCTGCAAACGTTAACTTTCAGTGAATTCACCAACAATTTTTCACTATTTTATTTAGCCAGGATACATCATATCAGCCAATAGAAAAACATGAGGAGGTCATCTGATAACAAAGCTATTGCTTTTTGCATGCCTTAGACTCAGCATGAAATAATGCAACCATCAGTTTCTATACCGAGTGGTTTCATTGGGCATTTAGCCGCAAAGAAAAAAAAAAAAAAAGAGTATAAGGTGACCATTGAATCAAGTGAAAGAAAGAAAAGATTCCAAAGATTCCAATTGATTGATTGATTTATTGATTTCCTCTCGGAGAATTCTCAGCATGGTGGATTCACTGGCATTTTATATATATGTACATTTTATGAAGTACGGTATATACTTGAAATTTTCAAATGCTTCACATATTCTTGTATTTTATCATTTAAAGGCAATCATTTCAGTATCTTAGAAAAAAGAAATAACTGTTTAACATAGAGCCAACTCCCATTTTACAACTTCTGATTCAATATTAACATGAATTACTGACAAAACAGTTTTTTTCTGAAATTTATTTTTTATTTCATCTAAATGTAATGAATAATCTCCATACATTTTTCTGAAGCTTCCTGGTTCTTCTGAACTGGTATTTTTCCTGGAATTGCTTTCACCTGGCTGCCACATGACAGCTGCAGTTTTGTAGTAAATGGAAATTGCCCA